AACGGTGACTAATGCCGCGGTTCTCCTACTTCGCGTACCTCCTGGCTCGCGTGCAGCATGCATCGCTGCATATAAGTCTCGTCCGCTGCCCACCTCGCGTTATGTCCTCCTGGCCGCAAAGTTATCTACCTGGCGGCGCGTAATTTTCTTTGTTAGCCGATCGATGACGACCGCAAGACGTTATTTGCGCGAAACTGTGCCACACTTTCGTAGATAAGGTTAAAGATGAGCGGGGACGTAGTCGAGGACGCTATGAATGGCGAGAAAACTGATATTCCTCAATCACACTTGTCGAACTTTTCAGTTCTAATCGTCCTTCGCAAAAAATTGCCGAGATTTTCTTATCAGTATATATGTACAATAAGTATAATATATTAATTTAACGAAAAATATTATATCAATATTACAAATGATGATGAATCTTTAGATAGCAGTTTTTATTACTCAATGAACAATCATTTTTGCCACGTTTAAAAAATATTTTTTTCTATTTAAAATATTTTACACTCTAAAGAATATTAATTATGCTATACAAACTGTGACATAACAAAGCCTTGGAAAATAAATTTCAATCATGAAGCTTAATGCGTTCGAATGGTCATGTAATTCTGTTGGTGCCAGAACAATTTTAATTAAAATATGTGATAATCATCACTATTAATACCTATTATACCTATATTATAATACCTATTAATACTCTCTATAAGCAAATGAAAACGCAAATGAAAATGCAAGTAAAGTTTATGCGCGATGGCGAACTTTTACCGCATAATGTCCTATATCAGAGATAACTTGTCGATTTCACAGTGCTTCGTTCATATGCAAATAGCTCGTGAAGATAATAATTCTAAAATGAGAATGCGCACGACCATCGAACGTGACAATCGCACATAAGTGGCGTCATAAGAATAAATATAGACAGTGGTTTTTGTACAGTTATTATTAAGTATTGTTCTCTCCGCTATAGGTGCGCAATGCAAATTTGACATTTTATACCACTTTCTGATTATATTATCGTACCGAAAGAGAAACCGTGTCCCAACGTAGGTAGCACGTTACATTGCATTGCGCGATACCGATTACGTTCGCCCTATGACGATTCGTCACGGCGATCGAACAATCATGCACCGCATAATAGAGTAGGCGTTTAACGAATATGCAGTATTCGCTAATGAACATCTTACTTTCACTCGCATAAGACAAGATTACGAGACCATTTACGTCCGCATTGTGAGTGCATTTACTATCATTATTAATTCATCGAAATGCCACTTTTATCTCTCTTTTCTATTTTTTCTAAAATCTTTCTTTTATTTTAAATTTTTTGCTCCTAATTAAAATTTGCCACTTAATCCGAATCGCTCTCTCTCTTAATCCATTTTAAGATTTTTCATCAAATTTGATATCTATCTATTATAATTAAATAATGATTTAATATTATTCAGACATGATAATAATCGATATTTATCTTTTATATTAAAATAATCATTTCTATTTTTTATTTTTTTTATCTTTCTTTTTTTTAATTTTTGCTCCTAATTAAAATTTGCCATTCAATCAGAATCGCTCTCTCTCTCTCTTAATCCATTTTAAGATTTTTCATCAAATTTGATATCTACCTATTATAATTTAATATAATGATATAATATTGTTCAAGCAGGATAATAATCGCTAGATTTATCTTTTATTTTAAAAATCGCATAATAATCATTGATCTAATGCATTAATTTGATAAACGAGCGTGTCAAAAAATGAATAACGTCGCAATATTTTTATTTGGTCATTTCTGTCAGCAGAAAGTCCGAGTTACATGGGCGATAAATGTCGGGATGTCAATCACGGCGTGTCGCGGACACGAAAAGAGCAATTTGCGAGTTCTGATCTGCATTAGCGGGTCTACCATGTACCTGCGCGAATCGAACAATGTCGGGTTTGGCGATATGCAAATAACTACAAGCTACAAGACTCGGCAATCGGCGCGGTCTCCAATCTCTTGGCGGGCGAATGTGCCGAACGGTTAATGCCTTACGGTACTGCGAACGATACGTTACCGAATGGAAAGATTGTTATTCCGTACCGATGTTACCGTTACACACCAATCCTTTCGTTATTTCGCTGAGTTTGCAGCCAACCGAGAGATTGCACGAGAACTTTATATCAAATTCATCTCATATTAATCACGATCGGTTGTCTCGATTATCTTTATTGTCTAATTATTGAATCTCTGTATTGAAATCTCTTGACCAGCTACTGTATGAAATCTACAGTGTATGTCACATTTGTCGTATTTGCTTTTATCTATCAAATTTCTTATTTACCCAATCAATTCTTTTGACATTTCATTAAACGTCGAATAAATTATTATCTTCATATCTTAATTTTTACAAAAATTTTCTAACATTCTTGACTAAATCAAATAAATAAAAAAAACTTTCTAGACATAATAAGTAGAAATCTAGAATAATTCAGAATAAAATCGCTCACTTTTCTCATCTATTTGCAATATTAGCATGTCTATTTATAGGGGGTTTTAAATTCCACGCATGCCTCTAGACACGCGATTGATATGTAAAAGTAATTAATTGCTTAGCAATAGATTATCTAAGCTGGATGCGTAACTGTAATTAACGACTTGTCCGTTGTGGGCTGTTTGCGCACTTGTGCGAGACCGCAGAATCGATTAGTAGCATTAAAATCATTAAACGCGAAAAAGGGCGAACACGCATCTTCCTGGACGGTCGGGCTGTAATACCGTTTAGTGAATGCACGTCTGCGAGCTTGTATACGTATATCAGTTTCTAATCTGCGACAGAACACGCAGGACGTGAAGGTTCCGTACGAGGATCGTGCACACGTAACGAAGCGTGCATATATAATTATGCACGCGCGCGAATACCTCGGAATTACCTGCGATATGTTCGCGTGTGAATTAGATACTCGGAGATATCCCTTTATATGGATAATGGGTAAATTTAGGAATATTGCCATAACGGATGTTTACGTTATACACACTTTCCAATTCTTCGATTCTATTTCTCACGAATAGATAATCGAAGTGAAATCGTGCAAGCATATACATAAGAAAATCAATATTTATTAAAGACTCGATTAGTTTTCTTGCTATAAATTCTCTTCGGTTAACCCTGTTTTAGATAATCTATAATTCGCGATAAACTTTAAGATAGAATTCTATTTATAATTTTATTATTGCAGTATATACAATATTTTATTTATTTTATTTTTTAATTGGTATTTTCTGTGTCATATGTATATGAAATACATAAAATACACATAAAATTATAAATAGAAATTTTAACATAAATTATAAATCAACTAAAAAGAACTTTAATTAGAAGGCAAATTTTACTTTAACGAGTCGATAGAAAATATGTAAGAAAATTTAAAAAACTACAGGCAACAATATTTGCTTTATAATATCCTATTCAAAAAGAAACTGCGATTTAAATCAAATAATATACAGCTGGCATTCTTTTCAAAAGTATTCACCTTCAGACGTGCTCGAAGAGACCACAAAAGATGATAAAAAAAGAAACTGTCGTGAGAAGACAGAAAAAAATGTCGCGAAAGAGACGAGTCCTAAAGCCACGGTTTGAATCGAGCGGACCCTCGGGGCCTGGACTAATAGCACTCGAGAGGACGAGAACCATCGCTCCAAGAAGCGCGATATGCTAATGCGAATATGGTTTTCCGACGACGGGTTGTTGTGACTCACCAATCGGTCCCTCATCTCTCGGCCCACGCAGCCTGATTATTAACCATCCTACATCCTCCTGCCGATTCTCCTTACGGCGTATTAAATTAACGAGAGACGTGCGCCTTTGTAACTGATTAACTTACGTCAACATGCGTGTGATGTTGGTGCATTACAGCCGCTAACAAGACGGTCTATGTAAAATCGATACTCCGAGATGCTCATCAACCACGCTAAGAATGCTCCATATCGACCTTACATAATGTGTGTTTATTACGTGTGCATGCGACATTATACGCTCGACGGCGAGAATCTTTCGCAACAGGTGTAAGCGAATGTTACGTAACGTAAATACCACATCGATGACACATATAGAATATCCATTTTAAAGTTTTCTTGAATAATAAAAATGTTATTTTGTATGTGAAGATGTTCAAATCATCCTCATTGACAAATTTATTAATACTTATGAAATATTACAAAATTTTGTTTCTCGTAAAATCAGTAAATTTTTGATAATGCAAATTTAATTTGCAAAATAAATCATATCGCAAAGGAGATAAAATAGTATTATTTCTCGATCCGAATATTATTTATATTGAAATATAACATGGTAATTTTCTAAGTATGCGCACCGTTAAATGATTACCGTTAGTTCCTCGTTATTCATGCAAAAATTTTCCACGATCGTCGCACGGGTTTTCAGTTCGATGTCACGTAATGCAACATATCATTGCATAACCGACGCTCAGTATGCTTGATTATCATATACTTGACAGATAACATATGTATTACAATGATATACATAACGGGGAAACGGCCAACAGTTACAAGATAAGCAAGAAATCGATTGGCATTGAGTAACAGATTGAATTGAGAAATGAAAAAAATTGTCGAGTAATAAAAAGAATTTTTCTTCCAAAGAAAAATATTTATTCTTACTTATCTTTCTCTTTAATAAATTTTCTCACATTACGTGCTTTTACGCAAACATCAATATTTGTGCTCAAAAATACTAACATAGATCTCCAACATAGTTTTTTTTTTACTTCACGTTAGAACAACGTTCTTATTTACTCGTAAGGAGACTATCGATTATGCTTCTCCTTTCGAGAGCCCCGTTAGAATCATTACATTAACCAAGCCTTCCGAGTGTAGGTGTACATCATTATCTCAGCGCCTACGTCACTATCAATAGCCTGATCTATCTCAACTTTCATTCGCAATTTCGGACAGCTGCGATCAATTAACGTGATTAACACAAGATCAAGAAGATATATTAACTCACCGAAGCCAGGATGGTAACAAGATAACGCTGGGTTCTTTCGTAGTCGAGCGTTCGATTGACCGTGACCTGTCCCTGGTGCGGCAGGTTGATGCTAAAATAGCCATATCCGTCGGCGGTGGTGATCCTGTTGCGTCCGACGCCTTCGTTGCTGCCGATCCTGCTACCATCACCTGGCGCGATGGAATATTCGACGATGCCGTTGACGCCGGCGTCGGCGTCGAACGCGTCGACATTCTTGAAGATCGTCGAACCGACCGGAGTGAGCTAAGAAAGAAAAAATCAACGAGCAAATTATTTTCGATATAATACATAACTCATCCACCTCGCCTGCCTCGAGGAGCCTGAAGCGCACCTGGCCAGGATAAAGAAATCCTTCGAGCTTCCAGCTGCGATGAGAAATCGCGGGACGATATATTCCGTCGCGGTTCTCGCGGAATCGAGCGGGATTAAATTTATGCGGCGCGCTTTATGGCGCAATTTCAGGGGGATGTTGGTTAATTGAAGGTCGGGGTCGGGGTCAGACACATCAGGGTGGTAGTGAAGCGTATAGTAGTATAGTAGTGGTGCGCGCAAGGGATTAATAATTCGATTGGGAACAGGTTGTTCGCGATGTGTGCGCGAGAGAGGATCTATGGGGTAGACCTGGGGTGAGACCTCGTTGGGGATTACGCGAAAATAATTCAGTAGCTTTTTGCGACGGACGAAAGCCGCACGGCGTTTTCGATTAATCCGCGGAGATAAGTCGCCGACTACCGTGCATTCTCGTTCGCTTCTCTCCGATGAGCCGGTTCAATACGAGCGAACGATATTCGCATGCAGCCTCGCTTATCTAACGGGATCAAGATTATTACTTGGAAATACTGTGTCCGACCCGTCTACCTTTTCACAAAGTAACTTTTCGTAAAGTAGAAATTATGATTACACCCGGAGGAAGAAACGAATCCACAAAGCCAGCTTTAGCCCATCTCAGACAACAGGCATTTTTTTCAAAGAACGTTCAACATCTCTTCACTTTATCCGCGGTGAATGTAGAGCAAAATTTTTAGCTGTAATTAATAGAGAGAGAACATTTTTTCTCGAGAGAGCTAGAAATGGGTAATTAGTATATTCTCAAAATTGAAGATAGGCTAAACTCATGATGATATTCGCACGGAAACACTTCAAGTGTAGGATATTCCTGGTCATTAGCCGCGATCATAATGGCAAGGAAGCCACCGTCTCTCATTTACTTAATGCATCTAACTTCCAGCGAGTTTTTTGATGGTGCAACGAGCGAAGATAAAAACGCGAGGGAGGCGGATTGCTTCCGGCCCTTTGCAATCAGCTGCGGAGAGCGATTATCATCGCGATGAGTTCCGCTTGTTCTCGCGTGTCCACCGCAAACGTCGGCGACGAAACCGGTTACTCATTGTGGATTAATTAGTTCGGAGCGGAGATCCAGCGTGAACCGACGACGGATTTCGCGATTTCGATCTTCCGCGAAACTCCCGCAATTATACACGGCAGGTGAAGCAAAGGTTGAGCACTCCGAGCTAAGTTTCCACGCTAAGAACGGACGCGAAGGCGTCATTAATTAGGCGATAATCTGAAACCAGTCAGGATTACCTTCGCTGAATCGTTCCTCTTCTCGCTAAGTTTCGAAGTGATCACGCATAGGTGTCCGCGGATTTTTTCCAGAGAGGGAGATGATTAAAATTTTGTTTCTTTTTATTATTATTCTTTCTTAATTTTTTTATTTTTTTATTCTTTTATTATTTTTATATTAAATAACATTGCAAATAAATTCCAGTGTTTATTTACAAGGAGAGCAAATGCTTTCCCTTCCTGCGGACGCCCATGATGATACGACTCTTTCTATATATAATAGCAATTTATACTTTATTTAACCGAATAAAACGACGGCAACGAATCACAAGACGATTTACACAAATTTTTTGACAACTTGACGTATATCAATTTTTTGACATCTGTCAAATTATTATTCTTTCATATCCATTCGAATGCGCGCGAAATTCCCAAGCAAACTGTCCGATACTAATGCACCCGCTGCATTCCCGACATAACGGTTCACAGATATAAAAGACGGAAGAATTCGCGGTATGCGTGGCCCCGATCAACGACCGTCGATATTCCCAGCGCTCCCTATTCAGAATATAGTGCTCGTCAACTTAGCGACGTGACGAATCCACTTTCTTCAAGTACGCTGACTCGACGATAGAGCCTGTCAAATGATAGAACTTCCGCATTCGACACACTTTTAATTTCCGTAAAACTCCCGTCACACGCATGAAAAGTGTCCGCGATTCGAAGAGAGAAAGCATTGTAGGATGTGACATTCAAAAAATATGATAAAAAATAATTATTGATAATATTCGACAATATCGTATAATTATTATTTTGTGTTGTACAGCGCATAATTCTCTAAAGCATAATATTATGTATTTTTTATTTAATTTATGCCACCAGAATATAATCATCAAACTTTCACGGTGTTAACTCTCTAATTCTTCTCTCAATTTACGTCCGTCATATTTAGACGCATAATTATAACATGCAATCTATTATTATAGCTTTACATTTTCAACGCGTTATATCGTGCAATACGTACAACCGCGACTCATTATAGGGATAAATTTAGACCTGCGTGACGCGCGTAAACCATGAATCAATTCATTACGCCCGCATTTTCACGCTCTACGTCCATTTATTCTGTTAATACGTATTTTCCGCCGCCAGTATTATTCGTTTTATTATAGATACAAAGCAATATGAGGGGCCTGAAGAAATGTTGATTAAAAGCTATTTACGCGACTCGGAAGATGACCCAGCAGTATCCCACATCGCGCTGTTAATTACGATATTTGATTACATAATTACACATACGTGATAAATATGAAAACTAGAATTCTTTCGTAATAAGGGATGCTTACCTCCGGCACAGTAGTCTCGTAAGGAGTGTTAATGAATTTTGGCGCATTATCGTTGATATCGGATACTCTCACGATCACCGGAATCGTTCGTTTCTTGTTCGTCGACTTCACCGTGCAGCTTAGCTGAAAAACAAACGTGCATTCATATTAAAGAACAGATATGAAAAATTTATGTATCACATTTTAACGTTTCAAGCTTAATTAAAGAGAAGAAATTAATAATGAATATATTAATAAATTGATATTACTTCGATAAGATAGAGATAATAAGGATCAGTGTATATGACTATATCAATCGTATCTCTGCATAAATCAAACTGGGTAATTTTTATTATTATAGATCGATAAATTTAATCTGGAAAGATCAAACGCGCTCGCATAAGACTATCGCTGAAATATTTACAAGTACGATAATTTTATTACATCGATTGCGCGCTCTCGCCCGCGGAAGGCAATAATAATTAATTAACCTCGGTCGTCGAATTAATTTATTTCGAACTCGATTATACTCCCTCCCATTTTCCCATCTATATTTTCCCTGAATTGATCGAAACGCGCTCCGCATTCCTACCTCCATCAAATTTACCTCTTTTATTTCCATCTGCGTTTCTCAATCTCATTAAATCTTATCCATTCGTTCGATCAGTACGAACTCTTGCTCGATGCGGTGCTCCAGACCTTTCACATTCCTTGCACAATAGTGTCATAAGGCACAATGTATTGTATACATATATGTATATACATATAGACTTTGGCAAATACCGAACAAGTCACCGTAGGAATTGCGTCTTCGAATCGTAAATACAGCAATCAGCAAATGTATTAATTCCACATAATTTTATATTAAATCCATATATTTTATATTCATTCCATATAATTTTATATTAAAAAATATACATGCACAAAGTAACATAAATATCTCCAAAAAATAGTACTTACAAAATTAGAACTGTATAGATATGTATGTATAATATAGTATGTGTGTGTAAAAATAATATTTTAGACTATTTCTTCTTAGCGTAAAATAGCTGTAAAATGTTTTGTTTATATTTTACTCTTGACACTTCGGTAAGAAGAAAAAATATATACGCATGTACAAGGTGTGCGAAAAGTCCTGGAACTTCTTTCACGATAAATTTAATAAATATAAAATTGTAACTTACAAACTGACAATTAATAGTTGATACAGAAAACCGTTATAGATTAACTCTGGATAACTTGCCTGCTTCCGCTTTCGCAGTGAGTTTGCAGCTCGTTATGACGGTGAAGATAATAATAAAACATTTTACAGACAACTTTTTACGTAGACAAGATTTTCCTCCGAGAAACGAGGAAAGGTTTTTGTGCTTGTAAAGCGACGACATCATCTTAAGAGAATATAAAAAAAAGAATTAGATGTTTAGACGTTTAATGATCAAAATAAAAGAATGTATCTTGAAAGAAATCGAAAAACATATGTACAATTTTTATAATGTAGTTATAAAGCTTATTACTTAAGAAATATTTTTTCCGATAATGTAAAAGAAAAATAATAAAAGAAAAACATTTTCCAATAATATAAAAGCCGTTATTCGTCTCAAATATTTGTAGTTGAGTTGAGAGAGGAATATGTAATGATGTAGTTATATTGCTTTTGATTATTTATTTCTTTTTATCACTGTATTACTTTATCTTCATTACATGCATATTATTTCGCTGTATAATTTTCTCATTAAATCATTATTATCTTTTGCTATAAATGTTGTATAATTTATGTTTACTTGAAAATCTCGACAATTTAAACATTCTGTTTACTCAACAGTTCCATTATCCTAAATAAAAATTTAAGAGGATTAAAAACCAATGATATTAACGATAAAACCTCGAAACAGAAAAGTAATGCATAGAGAAATAAAAATTGCTGACAAAATTGTCGCGAAATATAATAATCGGAAAACACGAGAGAGGAAAGAACCGAAATTTTCACGGATGGCAAAAATTTCTTCTCGGCGCCGCGTGCCGATTATTGATTATTCAGATTCCCAGTCAGCAGTGATTGTCAACTTGACAATTTGTCTTGCAATGAAATTTCCGCGTGAAATTTATCATAAAAAGCGGTTAAATTGTATTTCATAGAGCTCGTGAGACAGTAAACTTTCTCAGGTGGACTCGGTGGAAAAGAACACGTGCACACGGATTGACAGCTGTATAGTCATGCGTGCCGTAAACCATTACTTGAGTGATAGCGTTAGGTAGGACGATGCTCTTCCAATTTCTCGCGTGTGAGTTCGAAAGCAATTTCTCGCGAGCGAAAGTAACACGCGGGATTAGCGCCTTGATAAATGTCGTCACTTTGTAAAGTATATGACGCGCCCACAGATTATTCAAGCCGCATAATGTACGAGTACAAGCGCGGAGAAACGCATCAAGTCTAGAGTGATCTCAATCTTCTAAGGATGATGTCTTAGAAAATACATAAGCATTCGCGTTGGCGCAAAAAATGCGTCAGAAATATTAAAGCAACGTGCTTAACAGAGATTAAACTCATTTTACTTTTGCATTATTTATTATTTTATTTATATAACAACGTTAATTTTTCATAGAACTTAGCTTTTTACAAATCAATTAAATCGCTGGTGAATCCAGTAATCCTTTGATTAAAAAAATCTCTTACCTGAAAAACTACGTGTGAGAGATTTTCGTCGTCTCTGTCCAGCGGTTCGAGAAGCTGCAGTTTTTTGCCACTCAGTTTAAAAAGAGGCGGTCTTCCTGGGAAGATAAGCTCCAACACGGTCTCGTTATAAGGATCGCCGGACACCGGAAGCTCTTCCGGCACGGTCCTCTGATCGATTGCTGGAAAAAGAAGGATGGAGAAAGCGATTACCGTCGTGCACATCAATTTAGTTCGTATCTAAGTCGAGAGACGCGCAAATGAAATTGTGAGTAAACTGCAAATACACAAAATGAGTTTTCTAACTTGACGATATTTATTTTAAACCAAGTAAGCAATAAAATATTATGAAAAGATTCCCATCACTAATAAAAGCAAATTATTTTTAAAAAACGAGAATTAAATCTTTTGATTAATATTAATTTTATTTATTAAAATTTCTTTTATTGAAATACGTATGTATATACAAAAAATTGTCACAGGGCCACTTATTAAATTCGTATCACTAAACATTTCGAGAAAATCTTTTATTGCTTGTGTAACATGCAACTTCCTCATGCAAAGATCAATCCGTCTTCACTTTGTAATGAATGCTATCTTGGTGGGCTGATATCAATCTCAGGCAATATCTCATTAGTGAAAGCCAATACGATTTAATTACAAACGTATTGTGACTGTTCTACTACTTTAATGTTCCCTTCCCTACTTTTCATCATCGCTCTTCACTCTTCATATCGTTGTGACTCTCTTTTCTTTGACTCCAAACTAATTAAATTTTCAATTATACAGACAAAAATCCCTTGAAACAAATTCAACACCCAGCTTTTTAATTCACACTCAGAAATTAAATTTGTGCTTATATAAATGTCAACTTAATATATATATATATATATATGCAGCATTTCATATCTTATTTTTTCTTTCAATTTATTTATTCAAAAATAAAGTAACGTCAATCAAAAGTAACGTTAAGCAATAAATTCGAGGCAAAGATTTAAATTTCCGTCCACCTTTAGTCTTTCAAATTTTTTTCCGGAATCAAATATTATTCCAAGATTTAACACGTAATGTGTAGGGTGTATAATGATTTTATTATCGTCTGCTTTTAAAGTATAATAACAAAGTCATTTCCTCATCAAAATAGGATTGCTTTGAGAGCCGCCCGCCAACAAAGACGTCGTGCATTATGTATACGGGCGGTATGTTGAAGACGACGACCAAGAGATAGTAAGTTGTTCAGACCTTCGGCGTATATAAGATGATTTCTCTCGCGGAGATACCGGGAGTCAACGCGCCAACAGCGTGACTGGCTCGATTTCGATAATCATCGGTCAGCAGAACTCCCATACACTCCCTCACGTGTAACTTCCGGGTAATAGATGCCAGAGTTATGACATGAGCCACGTACAGTCTCGAATTAAGTCTATTGATTCGGGAAACGATTTATTTGCGAATTTCATCAACAAGCTTTTGTCGACAGACGCGCAATCGATACAGCTGACTGCGATGTGGAGCAAACCGGGAATCGAATAATATTATATGATGAGCCAGGCGATACGTAATTCGTGATGCGAAAAAAATATAATGGCTATGGGATATAATGGATGTTTAGAAATTAGCACCAAACTTTTCCCGCGGTAAAATCATACGCTTTATTATGCTTTGGAACAAAAGCTACCGCAAGAACTCTGAATGAGATATAATGATGTAAAGCAAATGATGAAAAGTAATAACAAAATGCAAGAAATATTGTATAAGTGAACCTGTTACTGGAAAAATACCTTTTTACCCTGCTTTTTATTATTTATCCGTAAGCTATTAAATTTGCATTATTTTAATATGCAATTTTAATCAATTGTACATATCAGTTCTTGATATGAATTTTTAAAAGAATAAGCACATTTTAATAATTTAAAAATATAAAGTAAAAAAACTCAGTTTATAAAAATATAATAATTTAAATATTTATGTATTGCACCTACCATTTCCTCTGCTCTCCTCGATGTCAAGAATAATATTTGATTGTCCTGATTCCACCTCGCATAAACCTGAAATGTAAAATATGAAAAATATATAGTTTGATATTAGTTTTAATTTTTATTCACACTGTGCGAGCACAGATATTTAAATCAGTTTATAAAATGGCAGTCGTTATCATTTTTATATATTATATATATGTATTCTAGCAAATTTTAGAGAGAAAATAGGAAAAAGAGATGACAAAAATAATATTTTAATTTATTTTATATAATACTGTAAAATTTTTATTGTAATAATTTTTAATTATTATAATAAAATAATTATAAGCATGAAACACTAAAAAAGATCTGTACAAAAGGTTCTCTATGTATGAATATTATGATAAATTTCCATTATAGTATGTGTGTGACGTTTACGTATGGTGACTCAAAAAGATTTATCGTGTATAATTTTTTGTCTCTCTTTTTTTCTCCTCTTCATAATATAAATTATACATATATATAATATTTTAAAAATCAAACCAAACCACGACAATTTAATAGTTGCTTAAAGATACTAATGACACTAACATTTATCTAATCAATTATAATTATTGAAAAATAATGTTTTTCACGAAAGAAGAAATCTCTTCATTTATGATTCAATCAACGAGAATCCATCAGCTAAATAATAAAGTAAACTATGACGGCTACATTTCCACGGCAAGAATGCCAATATCATTTTTCACGTGCAAACAGAACACTCCGATAAAGTTAAAAAGCAGGAAAAAAATTGATTGCACTCGATTATCAAACAACTGACTAGCAATTTCATTCACAAGTGCAAATTTAAACGACAAGTTTTTATTTTTTATTTAATTTCAAATATGTTTTATTTACGAAATTTCAACTCGAGATATAATGTAACAAAAATTGAAGAAGAAAACTGTATCGAAAGAGAGAATTCGAATTTTTATGAAAAACTATTGTTCAGAATTTGTAAAAAATAATCCGAAAAATGACATTCGCAAATGTATCTACAACTTGATGACGTCCTATAGAAATCGGTGCTCTGACGCAAAAACACTTTTGTGCTTGATTTATTCTCAGAACCGACCAATACGCCCATGCTCCCTCAGACAGGTGCGAGAAGTCCGCTCGGATGGAAACGTGACGCGCAAAACGCTCGCATTAGGAAAGAAGATTGCAGCATCGCGAGCTCGAGGCACATCTCTCGACGTACATATATGCCAGCTGTTACGAAAGAGATCGGTCATCGGTCGATTTTTGTCACGGCAACCCCACAGACAAACGAATTAATCGGATTTGCACGCTAATGGATACGAGAACCTAATTACCAATATAGGCTGCCATTACCTATACATATGGGCTCGTTACGTTCCAGGATGATTTACGGTGTAACGTGATAGTTCTCGATTTTGTAAATTCGTCTTCCCCACTTTTTCTCGACTTAATAATATCCTTGTCACGACAGTCGGACAGTTATAAGTGAAAGAAAAAGTTGTAGCTCTTTTTATGAAACTTTGTTGAATTATTCTGTACTTCATATACATCAAATATTTCAAATTTATTTTGTTTGATATTTATACGCATGAGATATATAAAATATCTCTATCAAATATATTTATTAAAATTATTATTTAGATTATTTAGATAAAAGAATACAGAGAATTGGATTTTTATATATTTTTATAAAAGTTTATTTATAAATAATTATTTTATTAAATTTTTATTAAAAAAACAAATAAAACTTTGATTGCTCTTACAAATTATTTTTTGAAACATTATTTTAGCTATTGCTTTATCTGAATATATTTTTATTTTGCAAATCGTGCCGCATCGTACCGGTGAGTTTTATATACAATTTTGTGACATAGAAAATTATAATAAATATATATACGTATAAAACATTTAATAAAAAAAGGAAGAGTATATTTCTGATGATTATAAAAAATACAAACGTACAAAACTTTAATTTTGCAATAAGTAAAATTAAAATACCAGAAAAGCAATGGCAGCAAAGTATTATTTATTCTGTTTGTTTTTTGTAGACATAAATAAGGAAATTTTTATTAGTTTATTTTACATGCTTTAAGATTATATGTACGTACGCATTTCCCACATTCAGTTACAATTAATGGGCACCGCATTAATTAACCTGGAATCTAGAATCTAATCCAATTCACATGACCTCTTCCCTCAAATGCGGTTATCCCGCATATCGCCGTCAGTCCGTTATGTATATTGCGAAATCGCGCAATTTCCACGCGAGCATTCGTCATCATTCAGTCAACCGCGTACGAACCTCCTGCCCTCATAAAGTTCCTCACGTAAATCTCCCGAGACAGCGGGCTACTACTGGCACCGGCAAACCCTGATTATTTCTTCCCACGTAGAAAGTGATCGCGGCATTAGAAAGCGCATACTCTAGAGAACGAATGGCCCATCGATGCCGATCGCGACCGATATTTCTCATTCGACTAAACGAGTACTCGAAGCTGTTTTACGAAGGTGCGAAGGCAATTTTATAGATAGCTGATCCACGTTTTATCGTCGATATAGGAACACTCCCGTGGCTATTTGTGATCTCGTGTATGATTTATTTGCCAGCGTGTCTGACATTCGCGAGGTGGACTCTGCTAAACTCCTTGTAGACGAAATTTAAAAGTCTCGTGTAATACGTGTTGGAATAAAAGTATCCGAGACTTTACAGCGTATCATTATAATGATAGCTATAGTTGTATATATGTACGATCCAAACTTGTGGGAATAGATACTAAAAGTCACAGGCGGCGCCTCTCCAAAACAAAAACTTTGTTTTTACCGCCCGAATCCATTATCGTGAGAAGATTGTATTCTGGTACACACATATTGGAAAAAGTTGTACAACATCTGGATTTTTACAAAGCCGCACGTGTATCATCTGCTTTCGTGTAAAAAGAAAATAACACGCATACATACTATAAAGTACTGACTAAAGTTAACAACTGCTTCATACATTATGATGTTCAGAGAGGAAGAAAGAAATTTCTTCAAACATATTTCGTGTAGAAAAATACAGAAAATACCATCTCGTTAATTAATGAACACGCTTTTTGCGTTACCAAACATATACGTCGAGCATCACTTTCGGGGAATTACGTTTTTCCATTTAAACCCTTGCCTTAAAACAACCGCGCGAGAACCGCACCTATATCTCCCGTTTACAGGCGCACGCGAATTATCGCGTCGGAATGTATTATGTACGTTTTATCCTCCGAACCATTCTAAAGCCATTCTCTCGCGATATACAGCTTATGCTGATCGCAGCTTACTCCGTGCTTATCGATCCGTCGTGAAGCGAATCTCCAATAAAAATGTCAATGCACTCAGAATATCCTTCTTTCGCTTTGCGGTCGTAAAATAGAGATAGAAGAAAAGGAAAGGGAACGATAATTCGCGTATGCGAAAAATCGGGATATTACGTCGAGCATGAGTCCCGAGATGCGGGAATAACGCTTACACAGTAAGGCTTAATTACGTTGACGACGGTAAACCGGAAGGGGCATGAATAACGTTCGCTAAATTCGCTCTTATCACCGGAGAGAGAAGGTTTCTCTCGCGCCTCCGCACGTGCCGCCGATTCGCGAACGCGCTTCGCGTTTATTACGCCCGCCGTGCCGCGGCGACGACAATAAAACACACGGCTTACCCATCGGCCGTGACGTAAGTAATTGGCAATCAGCTGAGATAGATTTACGCGTGTGGGAAACCGCGCGGTTCAACCGTGACTTTTACGGCGCGCTCGCGAACCCATATTCCTTTTATTCCGCTCTCCTGTCAGTCGAGAACGTATTTTTTTTAAGGTCGACAAAAAAATTGTTTTAACAATTTTGCAATTTTCTCATTAGAGAGTGGATTTTGATAGCAGACAAAATAATGCGAGCAAATAATAGTAACTAATATATATACTCACCAACTTTGGCGTGGACGTTCTGAAGATGTAAAATCACGCACAGCAGACACCAGAGCCAGTGGGTCATTGTTTTCGCCTGCAAAAAAAGAGAGAATATAATTAATACCTAATTAACCGTATATAATATTACTAATATCTCAATTATATGTGTAATCGGACAGATCGTAAATTACAAGAGACTCGCGCGTAATCAGTCGCGCTTAGCGAGGTCTCTTCCAAAGAGATCATCATATTCATAAGTCACGCTTCCCTAACCATCATCAGTCACGGTGATCCTTGGCGGCTTTTAAATAGCAGCTTTGCTGAAATCTCGTGAGGTACGAGATGTTACTTTCCATCATCAGCTCGCGTTTAAATGCATCGCGCATTAATATGCCACTCGTCTTACAGATAATCTCATTGTCCTTAAATAAGCATCATATTATCTGTAGGTACTTTGCCAACTCTGAACGTACGCTCGGAAAATACTTTAATTAAAGATTCAACTTTTCTCTTGCATATTAATTTTTTTTCGCAATATCAGCCATTCTTAAAAATGGCATAATTTGCAGAAATTCTAATAGGAGGAAATCTTGAATTTAATTCGATATTTCTCGTAATAAATTGAAGTAAAATGCTTTGCTCGGCATGTTTTACATGTTTTACATGCGTTCACCAGGATGTATATTCGCTAAAACTTTAAAAAATTCGATACTTATGCAAATTGCATTTCGGGGAAGAAAAGCTTAGCTGGCGGACGCAGACGTATGAAATGTAGCCAGAAGCTTAATACGGACGTATCCTCCCTCGCGTGAGAAGACGTCGGGAGGATCTCATGAGGGAGGCAGGATCGATAGCGCGGGCGGCTCTGTAAGGTCTTATGCTAATGCACCGTTGATGCACCGCGCGTATAATAAGGCTATGCGTCAGCGCGAATAAAATGCGACGAACGAAGGGAAACAATGCTATCGGCCTCGTATGATCTCTCGGGCAGGCCGCGTTTGCTTTACATCGTATAAATCCCGCCGCGGTGCTTTTTCTCACCTAAAGACGCGCGTGCGAGCACGACGGTTCTCTCATCAACGCATATAAAGTGCAATCACCTTTGCGAGAGAGATCTATATGTGCACACAGGGTGTCTGACATAAGATGTCACACTGAAAATATATACAAGTAGATCTTGTTATTCGGAGACAATTTTTCCTCGGCAAAAATATTGAGACATCGATAATTTTTGAATTATAAGCGATTAAAATTAAAAGGTTTTTCGCAAACTAAGTTTTGTGAAAATAAAATAACAGAACCGCACATTCTTCAATTAATTTCAAGTAGAGTTTACTTATATAACATTTTAATTTAAGTTAAGAGTTTAACAAGGCTCTGTCATATAAATATAAATTTAAAGTATAAGACAGGCAATTTTAATTTAAGGTTTAGTTATGAAGATACATAAATTATGATCATGCAAAAAATGAAAGCCTCCCTCAACATTTTTACTTGTATATTTTCGGTGTGACTTTATGTCAGACACCCTGTATAAAAAATTCGCGCGAATGTGCAAAGCAATCAACCGCCGTTTTTAAGGGATAAAACTTCTTATCTTTCTCTCTTTTTCTTCGGTTATGTAAATTATTCAAAGTGTTTTCTCACACGGAGCATTACGCAAGCTGACTGTATATATTGATAACAGTCTGTATTCGCAGACGTTGCTTTTTTTATCAAGAGACAATCATTACACATATATAATATATTTCGTAACGTGGCATATAAAGAAGATAGCGCGTTTGCGCTCGATAACGTGCATATGTATGTTTGCGATTTCTAATGGACAAAAATCGTGTTGCAGAAAATTATACAAGCCCCCATAGTTCCGCATAGTCGAGGACTTGACGTGTTCGCGAGTCCCACTAGATCGTGTAGTCACCTCGCACTCAAATTAGGCTATCGCCTGTAGCGTCGTTCGTGCAACTGACTCATGTGCAAAAAGTTTCCCAACAATCACGCATACTCTCGCATAATTTTTAATCTCATGCTAGATTATTCTTGCATGACTCTTATCTTTCAGTCGATTCCAGATTTTTTAGATGTGTTTGCGTAAAAAGAAATAATTAGATATAAGCAAAATTTCGCGAATAGGATTATAAATAATACTAAAATAAATTAAAATCCCAGCAACTAATTTTTGCTGGGATATAAATACACTGAAATAAATTAAAGTCTAAATAGTGAATTTTTTTTGCTGAGAAAAATTCAAATTAACATTCTCGAGTAATCTGTGGCTTTGAAAGAACGTCATCTTTAGAAACGCTAGAATGTATAGCAGCAAGAAAAGGCAAGACGGGAGCGAAGCTATTCATCGATCCCCATACATAGGTATACGTCCCGGCGAATGTATTCACGAAATTTTTCCTCTCGCGGTTTCGAACAAAGTTTCCTTTCGAAATGCGGTTACGAACGAAGGGATCGCGCGCGCAACATCCGTCTCGAGAGTTAAAGAGGACGTTGTAATTGATGTAACGAGCAGCAGCTCTCCATTCACCGTACCAGGATAAGCACACGCGAAGAGGCGTTCGAGTTCGCGGTTTACAGCACGAAGTTTATGATGAAACCCCTCCACTCGATAATTCGATCTTCGTCTTCTACGGGCGATACTTATAAACTCCTCTTATAAACACGGTGGTCGTTTAACAGCATTTCGTTAACGGAGCACTTGTGCAAACGATAAATTGTCTTAAAATGGTATTTTTTCACCGGTCTACCGTAATTCTTCCGAATTGCATAATTAACGTCGCGGCGCGGAAGCTCTAATGCATTGATGCACGAGACGCGATTCACTTTCTTGTGATTTATCTACGGCATTGAATGCATTACGATCGAGGTTGTATAGCAACGTATTAATTATAAGCTATAATTTTAGAATTTATCTGCAAATGGCTTTTCATTCGGATTAAAATTATCCGGCAGAATAATCGGTTACATTAAATCATGGAGAGAATATATATGTATAATGTAAATCATTGTAACAGATTCCGACTGAATTTCTGATAATCTAAATTAATATTATAGATAAAATTATGTAAAAAATATATTTGCAAATAACACATTCTTTGAAAAAAAAAAAAATTGATTGTGTAATGAAGAGAGAGAAAAGTCGTTTCCTTTCGAGAAACCAGAAGTTGTACATGTCGACAGTCGACAATCTTTATGTGCTGTACTTATGTGTTGTAAAGTTTAAAAGAGCATGATCTCTTCGAAGTAAGTCGGGTCACGCGAGAAGCAAAGGAAAGTTTCTATCGGAAACAAGAGTGTCTTATTCGTACACCGTTCTTTGTATTCTAACATTTGCTTTTCTATCTTAAGCATATCGGATTCAATATCAAGATTGAACTAAATCTGACGTGACATTAATTTCGATTATGCAGCACATTAATTACGATTTGCATTCTGTAAGATATTGTGCCCCGACTTCCTTGATTATAATCAGTGAAACATGGAGTTTCCATTAAAGTTTCCCTTTAAATGCAACGACATGATCATAATATTGCGTAAATATTTAATGCCTTCTTTCATTATTTGTGTAAGTTTCCTTTTTACACGATAAGACTTAAGTCAGAAGATTTAAATCATGCATTTATAAGCAGGTTATTAAAAAATATCTATAAGTGTTTACTTAAGAGTGTGCGGTATATTTGAGATTATATAATCCAAATTTTATGTTATTGAACGGAGGACTATTTTACGAATATTTTTAAACACGCTCTTTTATTTTTTTTTAAATTTTAATCAGGCGATAATTGAGTTTTTTTTCATTTTAAAGTCACCTTTTGAACAGTATAATGTCACGTTAGTTATTTTTTAAATATTTTGTATCATCAAACGGAGAACCATTTTATTAATATTTTCCTATATTTTCAAACACATTCTTTCATTTTGGAGTTTTAATTATTATGGATAAAAATTAATTTCTTCATAATTTTATATTCGAGTATATCGTTACGTTACGCCATGTTTTTTCAATATTTTTCATTGTTTCATAATTTCAAATGTTTCCGGAAATGTTATCAAAGTATACTGTCCAAGAATTATGCGCTGACACTCACCCGTCACGTATTTCCACAACGGCTGAAGTACTCGACTTTTCATTATCTACCTTATTAATCGCGAAAGTATAGTCATGTCTCAGTCCAGCTCTATCTAAGTCGGAAGTAAATCGGTACCCACGGTAGGACGCGTTGTGAAATACCGGTGGTCGTTTCTTGAGATGTCGTGCGACTTGACCATAAATATAGTACAAACACTAGAAAATATAGAATATTATTTTTCGATCATTAGTAGAATTAAAATTAATATTTTCGTTCAGAAGGATGTCAAATATACGACAAAATATTTAAAGAGTATAATCCTATATAAAGAATAGAATTTATATATAAATTTGTTCGATTTAATTACTGTCATATATCGTTTACTTTCGCTTAAATTAAATAATTAAATAATATGTGAATTATCCACAACTGGATTGGGAAGGATCAATTTTCCAAATGCTGCATTGTTTATTAAAGGTGCTATAATAAAGATAGTAGAATAATTTACACTTGCACATCATTTAAATAACAAAATTACAAGTAGTGATTTATATATAACTCTGGAGTGTAATCGCAGATCTTTCTAGATACATATATAAATTTGATATTTTGTTAATGTATTCAAACTTACTTATAAATATAAATCATAAATTTCCTAAAAATCAATGAACCTTATATCTAACAATAAGTCTACTGTATGATCTTTTATAGATCGACAAAGTGATTCAATATCTAAGAGTTATAGAAGCTAAATTGGTCAAGTGGCGATTATACAATATTGTGTTTATGTAAAGAGACAGTGCAAGTGCAATGCGTTGTTCGCTTTACGAGGCAATAATTAAACCGCGCTGGTATGGTGATTGCACAAAGTTTTGCAACGCAAATGACTCGCTATACTCCGAGACTCTACATATATAGATCCTAATGGCTAACGTATCGCGATTCCAGCCACGTGTACCTGAGTTTGTTACAAGGATGCACCTGCCCTTAGCGCCTCCAAGCTGCTACTCTTCTT